CAAGAACCATATCAAATATAGTTTTATTATTGGCTTGAGACACATTATATCTTGGATATTTTCTCAGTTCTACATTTGTATTAGTTTATCACAGGTAAATTTTGCTTTTGTTTGGATGAGCTGGAAGGAATCAAAATGGAGGTAATGATGTAGTGCTTTAATATTGAGTTGAATTCAATAAATGAAAATATTTTCTCTGATCCTACAGCAAATAATTGTAAAAGTTTTTACATAGAGGAGGGAAAATTGATTGTCTTTTCTTCAGTGTTCATAATAATTTTTATAAATTTATTTTAGTTTTATTAATATGTATTTACTGTATATATTAATGGTATACAATATGACAGGTCTTCATAAAAAGTAATTTACTATTTTTTAAAGCCACAGCAATAGCAATTTTATAATTCCATACACATTTCTCTGGTTCTAGGCTAGAACTAATTTGCAAATAGAAAGTGCTAAAGGTGTCTAGTAATTTGGGGATACACAGTTTTCCTTTCTAGCTAATTACAGAAGTTAAACTTTGAGAAAACAGATTTAGCACTGCTTTGTATAAGAGATAAGAATGCAAGAAACTTAAGTGTATCTAGCCAAAGTCTTAATTGCAAAAGTGTTTTTGATCATAGGTCAAGGTCATTCGTATTTTTCATATTTAGAATAGGCCTTCGAGAAGCAGAACTAGAATTAGTGGATTAGTGTAAAAACATAGAAAGTCTAGCTTTTCAATATTTCATCAAGAAGATTCAGGAATACAGGTTTGATGGAATTTCTTAGGGTTCACTGTAAGGTAATTCCCCTAACACAAAGGAACCTCAACACACCACTCAATATGTATAAGCAAAACAGCTCAATGTTAGGCTGAATGTTTCAAGTGGATAAATAATTCACCTACAATCCTGTCACCAGTTCAACTCTAGTTTATGATTTACTTTCTAATTAATTCAATAACTATAAAGCATGTTTTAAATTGTTCCCTGTTGCAGTTTTCTGCCTGTGTCTTTCTCTTTTGCTGTCATTATCTTCTTGGGTTTTCTCTCGGCTTCACTTCTCCAACGCAATACAGATTGTACATGCAAAGCATACAATGCTGAAGAAGAAAGATGACACCTGGGTCACTAGTCTCCTGGCTCACTTTGCTAATCTGCCTCAACTGCCATTACTAATTAGGGTGAAAAGATGACTACCACCATGGCTGTTACTGCTGTTGCTCTATTTAAATGCACTTGCAGAGCCTCACATATTTTTTTCCACTTGATGAACTTATTACTCAATGTATAATGTAGGAAGACAAGAAATTAACTTTTAAGAATCTGAGGACTTTTTCTTTACAGGTGAAATACGTCTTCCATGTAAGGGAAAATATATAACACACAGGCTAAATTTATAAAACAATAAACATAACAGGAAGCTAAGAATTAGGCTAACACTAATGCCTTTGAAGCTGCTTTTATGACCCTTTCAAATATCTACATCTTTCGGAAGTAATTCCTATCCTGACTTGTAAATTAAACATTCCTCATTTTATGTATGTCCCTAAATGATAAATTATTCAATTTCCCTTATTTTAATAATTATAGAAATAGAATCACAATAGGTATACTTTTGTCATTTGCAATTTTTTTCCCTTAACAGGTTTTTAAGATATATCCTTGTTGGTATGCATAGCTATGATTTATTTAATTTTAGCATGGTTTAAGTTTAATATCATTGTATGAGCTATATAAAATAGTTCATTTGGCCCCCATAGACTTTTTTAATATTACAAACCATATAATTTTCTGTTGTTTATAACAAACTTGGAAGCTTAAAAGAGCACACTTTTTTTTTGTCTCAAAACTTTGTGGTTCAGGAGTCTTGGCACTGCATGGCGCAACAGTTTCTTTGCTGAGGGTCTTACACAGTGAAAATTGAGGTGGTCGTCAGGACCACAATCTTCTATGAGGTTCAGGCTCCTCTTATAAACTTATAAGAGGAGCCTCTTATAACCAATTTGGTAAGTTAAAAAAACAGGAATAGAACCACCATAGATCTGATATTCCACTCCTTGTCATATATCCAAAAGATCTAAAATCACCATATTATAGGAATGCAGCCATATCAGTGTTCATAGTAGCACAATTCACAACATCCAAGCTATGGAACCAACCAAGGTGTCCTTAATTAGATGAATGGATAAAGAAAACATGGTATAAATACACAATAGAATATTGCTCAGCCAAAAAGAAGAATGAAATTATGGGATTTGCTAGTAAATGGATAGAACTGGAGACTACCATGCTAAGTGAAATAAGCCAGATTCCGAAAGCCAAAGGTCAAATGTTTTCTCTGATTTACAGAATCTAGTCCAAAATAAGGAGTGAGGGGAAGAGAGAAAGAGAATGAGAGAAAGGGCAAAGAGAGGAGTGATTTCATCAAAATAGAAGAAAGATTTAGATGAAGGACTAGAGGACTAGAATAAGGGGACTGAGGGGGTGGGAGAAAGGACATGATAAGGGAAGAACAGTGGAATTAATTTTATTTACCTTTCTTATGTCCATATATGAATATACCACAGTGAATCTCACCATCATGTATATCCACAAGATATTAACTATATATATATTTTTAAAAAAACCTAGCTGGAAATGGCAGCACACACCTGAAATCCCTTTAGTTCAGGAGGCTGAAGCAGGAGGATTGTGAGTTCAAAGCTAGCCTCAGCAAAATTGAGGTGCCAAGCAATTCAAAAAATAGGGCTGAGGATGTGGCTCAGTGGTTGAGTGCTCCTGAGTTCAACCCCCAGTACCCAAACAACAACAACAACAACAACAACAACAAACCTAAAAGTAAATAGCAGAGAGAGCAATAGAGTACATGGAAGGGAACTGTGGAAGAGAGGAGGGGAGAGAAAGGGGAAATGCTAGGGGCTGAATTAGAGCACATTATATTCCATGCATTTTGGTTTTAGAAGTAAAGCTTTTAATTCTTTACTATTGAATATCGTGTCTAATATGTATTTTGGGTAGATATCTTTTATCAAGTCCTGTCCCTGTATTTACAAATTCATGTAAAGTTTTAAAGGAATTCTAATTAAAAACTTAATAGGAATTTCTGGAGAGCTTGACACTTAAAAAAATGTATAGGAAAGAACAATCAAGACAACACTGAAGAAAAAGGAAAAATATGTGGCAAGATGGCCTACTAATTATTGAAACCAATTATCAGGGGAAAGAAACTTATTTCATAAATTATAAAAGATCAATTAACTAATAATTTCCTAAGGTTTTATATGCCTTCAAAATATAGGAAGTAAAAAATGACAGATCTGATATAGTTAAATCCTCAGTTTAAACTAGAGATTTCAAAACCTTGCTCTCATAACTAACAGAATATATGGGACAAAAAATAATCAGGTAAGGACATAGAATACTTGAATAACACTAGTTGCTGACTTTACCTAATTGTAATTTACAGAAAAATTTACCCCAAACAATGAAATTCACAGTGCACAAAGTATGGTTACCAAAATAAACCATCTTCTGGGTTACAAATAGTCAATAATTTAAGAGGATTCAAATTGCATGATATACATTTTCTTAACATAATGCGATTAAAATAGAAATTAAAAACAAGATACTGGAAACTCTTAGGAAACTGTAAAACAAATTTCCAAATAACCTGTGATTCAAGAGAAATTAGGAGTAATTAGACATTATTTTTTAACTGAATATAGTAAAATGTTTTAAAAATGAGATGTCAATTATATTTGTAGTGTTATTCTTAAATGGGGTGGTGAATGGAATGCTCTTATTTGTTATGCTTTATTATATCTTACATATAAATACAATTAAAAGATAATGAAAATAAGAAATAAACAACCACATAAAAAATCTTCTTGAAGAAAGACTTTATAGATATAATCCAAAGTAGATTTGTACTAGATATATCCAGGTGATAAATTTCAAGCTTTAGAGAAAGACAGGCATTAATTTTTAGACTACATTAATGAAGTCACAAGATAAATTAATGTGTTGCTGCTGTTATTAAAAAAAATGTCTTCAAATAACACTGAAAACCATACCACATCCCATGGTTGTTGCACATTCAGGTTCTCTGTGGTCTTTGTCAAAGAATAGAAAATGAACATATGTGCTCCATGCAGTTGCTTGTATCATTAGGCATCAAAAAAAAAAAAAAATCCAAAGCATCTGCAATCCCCTGTTTTAATTAGATCCTGAAGTAATGGCTGCAGCTGAGCCATTTATTGCTTCTGTAAACGAGAGCCAGTAGAGGGAAGATTTTTTTTCCTACCATCACTTCTGTAAAGGTAATATGACAGCAAAAGCATAGGTGGAACAATTTAGATTGAGGAAACTGGACTGCCCTTTGATGTCATGAAAGCCACTTAGACTCAGTGTGTGCAGCTTCTAGTAGTGACAGTCAAGGGGTGGAGCAGAGACTAATCCATGGTGTAAGAGCAGTGAAAATCCGGATTTTACTAAAGTCACCAAACGGCCATATCAGTAAAGTATCAGTCACTAATACAGTTTTTTAAAAAAATATTTATGTTTTAGTTGTAGTTGGACACAATACTTTTGTTTTTTTATTCACTTATTTTTATGTGGTGCTAAGGGTCAAACCCAGGGCCTCACTTGTGCTAGGCGAGTGCTCTACCACTGTGCCACAACCTCAGCCCACTAATTCAATTTGTATCCTAATGAAATGAATATTTTTATTCTTAAAACATATTATAGTTTAGTAAGACATATTTTTGAAATTGTGTATGTAGAAAATTTTTGCTGAGATAAAGTCCTCAATACAAACACATATTCAATTATTATTAACTTGTCTGAATTTTATATCAAGTTAACGGTTAAATGTTTTTATCACTGGAAATTGAAAATTATTATTAGGGATATATATATATATATATGTATGTTTATGTTATATATACTCTTTTAATAATTAGTTTTATCATCAACTTTTTAGCATTATAGAATGTTGGTTGCTCAAAATCATCATGTATATTTTCCTTCTTCTTTTTTTGTGTGTATGTTGCTGAGGATTGAACTCAGGGCTTTGTGCCTGCAAGACAAGCACTCTACTCCAACTGAACTATATCCCCACCCCTATTTTCCTACTTCTTGATGACTAAAGGGTAAATAATCCTTCTTTATTCATAATATTGGCCAACTTCACTTTTGTAGAATAAAAACTTTCCTTTTAGAAAATATCATATCAGAAAGGATTATAGAGAAGAGTTTGCCTATTGTTTACAGAATAGATCTTTAAAAACTTTGAATATTGACTGTAGCACAGAAAAACAAGGTTTTCATAACATTAAATGAGACCAGAAAAGCATGTCAGATTTATAAAACCATTTGTTTCCACAAAACTACACAAGTGGAAGGCTTTTGAAGAGGGTTGGCTTGAAGCACTTCATTATTTTGAATGCTGGATTAATGTTCATAGTTTTCCGTTGCTCACTTTTATGTGGGGGTTGGTCTGAAACACGGTATATTATGCAATGGTTTTGTCATGTATTGGTGATGATATTAACAGTCTAGTGCTAAACAGGTTCTGAGGAAATGAGGAGGGAAAAAAATGACTTACTATATTTACTCTGAAACAAGATTCAATCTGCCACTGTATTTAATGCTATATTTTTCATTATCTCACAAGCATATGTTGAAACCGCTACAGATGATGAAGTTAGCTGCTGGGCAGAGTTATCATCAATGCTTTCCATCTTTATTTTAATAAGAGGAATGAACAAATTGTTTGTGACCTTTGTCAAGGGCTTCGTGGAAGACAAGATAGCTAACCACAAAATCACTAGCCTGGAGCCCTACTGAATATTCAAAACCTCCTTTCCTAGAATAAAATATCTTATAATAAAGCCATTGTTTCTGATATAGCCCAGCTTTCAAAAAAAAAAAAAAGGTCTAGAAGCAGAGTTAAATTTATTTTCCTTAAAAATACTGTATGTATAATAGTATTTGTAAGCGGTCCTATACTATTTGGAGGGAAAACATTTTCTTGAGGTTGCTACATTCTTAAAAATAATAATACCTGCAACTACTTAAGACCTTGAAATCATAGTTTAACCTGACGTATTTGCAAACCTAAGCCTTCTGGTTTAGGTGGAATCATGATGTCTCATAGTAATAGCAACTTCTACTGAGAGCTTACCACTGATGCTGAGTTAAGCTCCTTACTCATTATTACATACAATTCCGACTCTGGAAATAAATCCTGTGATCATCTCTGTTTTATAGATTGGCAAATTGGGCAGAAAAAGACAAAGTAACTTAACCTAAGGGCACCCCGTCAATGCTGGAGATCAGACGATCAAGGTGAGATGCAGAGCACTGGCTCTGGCTGCCTAGTTACTGCTCCACACTAAAGGCAACTGTTGTTTCCAAGCTGCTGTCTTTTGGGATGATCTTGGTCATTATATAAATGATACATCTAGTAATTCTGGCTTTTAAAAAGATGAGAGAATACAAAAAGTTTTCTGCTTCTGCGATGTATACTCTCTTTATCTTACTAAATTCTAAGAGCAGTGCATAGCCTATGTTTCCCAGTAGAAAGATTGCATTTTCCACCTACTGTTATCATAACACATCTCTAGTTTGAAAAAAAAAACATATATTTTTGACATATTTTTGGTCGTATATGTGAACCAATATATTTTAGATGCCATTTACTTTATAGCTATCACAAAAGCAAGAAGGCCTAAGTTCACATAGGCTTGCAAGGTTAAGCCCCTCATGTCTAAGTGGAAAATGGCCATTATCCTTTACTTTAACTCTGGGTGTGGAACAACTCAATCTACAATAAAGAGAAAATGAATATTTACAACTGCTCTGTGCCTATCAGATCCAGGAAGATTACTAAAGAACATTCAAGTAACACATCTTAAATTTGCTTTTATTTGTGCTTACTTTCTAAATTTTATTTACCTGTTACAAGCAATTTTTTTAAACTAAGGGCATAGTTTATTTTTCTAAATCGACTATAGTTACTTACATAGGTGAAAATAGAACTTATTAGAAAAAATCAGTTCCCTATTTTAAAGTCTCACTGAAATTTATGAGTGATTTTTAAATCTTGATTAGAAACAAATATTTGAGTGGTGGTGATGCATTAAATTTTTATTATTATTTTTGACACATGCTACACAAAGCATGGTTAGCCAACTGGTGACAATATCTAACAGTTTGTTAAGAGCCCATAATGTGCTAGGGTGCTTGCCCCAGAATATAAATCAACACATTGCTACTTTATTGAGAATGTTGTGTAATGAAAAGGAAAAAAAATAGCTGAACTAAGTAGTATGCTTCTAACATATTTGATTTTCATTCCCAGAATGGTACTTAGAATAGGGGTGCTATGGGTCATTTTGAAACTAAACTTCACAGTTTAAAATCATTTTTCCTGTTAGTCACTTATTACTGTATTTGCCAAAACCTTGGTAAGAAGGTGAAGCAAACCTCAATAATATTTCTCAAATGTTCTCATATTCTTACATTGAACAGTTACTAATAATCCTGATATCTCTTAATAAACACATTATCAATTGTTGAGTTGTTTTTGTTTTGGTGCTAGGGATTAAACTCAGAGGCACTTGACCACTGAGCCACATCTCCAACCCTATTCTGTATTATATTTAGAGACAGGATCTCACTGAATTGGTTGACACCTCCCTTTTGCTGAGGTTGGCTTTGAACTCCTGATCCTCCTACCTCAGCCTCCTGAGCCAGCGCCACAGTGCCTGGCTCAATTGTTCAGATTTTAGAACAAAGAACTCTGAACCAGAAAACATGACTTGACTTCTCCTTGAGCTAGTCACTTTTTGCTCAATCTTCTTATGCCTTTATTTCTTTTTTAAACAAGAACAAAATAACTTTTTGTTTAAAAAATAAATCATAGTAATTTCTTCTTTAAATATTCACATAAACTGCCATTTAAAAATTCAATAAACACTTCCATATTATCATTTCATAGACACCCCACTCATTAGTAAATAGGGATATTTCAAGAGCAATATTATGAACCAATGTCTTGAGTTTGCCCAAATTAAATGACTAAAGCCTCTGACACTGAATTTCAATCATATAATTTTATGTACGTGCATCTGTTAGTTGAAAAATTGAATATACACTGTCAAAATTTTTTAAACTGAAAGCTGTTTTGTAACATATTTTAAGTGAAAAAAATGGAATACAGTGTTATTCTCTTAGTTTGTTTCATTCTTGTTTGTTTTTTTTTAGCTTCAGCAAAGAATTCCTGTCACAACATTAAAGAAATATGGACAGTCTTCAGCGTTGCAATTGATAATGAACAAATATGAAAATAAAACCATGGCTAATCACAAAAGACAGAGAAAGAAATTAGGATTTTGGAAAGGAGGAAAATCAGTAAGTAGTCACTTACGTAGGAGTAGCACGGTTGGAACAATGCCATCAGTCCAACTTGACCATCCTTTAAGTCTGGCATATAAATGACACCTCTCTGTAGGTTCACCATACTGGATTCCTTTGAATGATTTGACCTAATATGAACATGATACCTCTTTTCTACTCTCTCAAATCTTCCAGCTCTATTTTTACTGATCATTATTCAGCTTTCATCTGGGTTAGCCTCTTATGTGCTACATATGTATCTTTATATCCATGACCTCACTCCTAGGAATATATTTGTGAGAGAACAGGATAAATTGCAGTCCTGATGTGAACTGCCTCCCAGGGTGGCATGCCTACATGCTTTGCCTTGGGCTAATGGGCAGGACTTGAACAGATGTGATAGAAACTCTCACTGCTGTTTTATCAGTTAATGTTGATTGACTGTAATACTATAGTGGCTGCTAGAAGAAATTTGCAAAGGAAAAAATGCCTCTTGAGAGTAGTAATATTTATATGCCTTAGACTTGCACAAAGAAATTTTGAAAGAAGGAATGGTTACTGAAAGTGGCCTCCTACTTTGCATATCCTTTTAAACTTGTTTGTAAAATTTTAATTGTACAAACTTATGGTGTACAGTGTCATAATTAAATATGTGTATAAGTGTGTAATGATCAAATCAGGATGGTTAACATTTTCTTTTTCTTAAAAAAACTTTTGTAGTTCATATATAATAATTGCACATATTTGTGAAGTTTATATGTCTTCATATACTGTCAAAATGACTAACTTTGTCTTTTTCTGTGGGAAAGAAGTTGGGTTACACTTAGGTAGAAACCATTATTGAAGGAGTAAATGTGATATAAATCAATAGGAATGAACTTTGGAGTTAGGAAGGCTAACTCTGAATCAGTCATTGGGAAATCCCAGACAAACTTCTTTGAGACATTTGTGATTAGGTGTCTAAAACTAAGGCTATGAATTTCTTCATAAGATAGTTTTGAATATTTGAAGAAAAAATTACATTAAAGACAGAATAGGTTCTCAAAGGCATTAGTTGATCAATTAATGCTTAAATATGTTTTTGTCTAGATGAAAATATATTCACTCTTTTTTATAAATATAATTCTGACCTTTGTTAATGTATTGAAACTATTGCTACATCTCAATGTGAGGGCTTCATTCATTCATTCATTCATTCATTCATTCATTCATCTTGCAAATTAATGCATATGTGTGTACACAAAGAAAAGTGTGTTCATGGCTGCTCACTCCCACATTCACCTTTAGATTCTGATACTTTGTGAAATTTCTGAAGCCCATTTAGTTTTTCTCCATGTTTATGAATCACAGAATAAGCAACTTTGATTTAGAGTCTCTATCTCATGACATTTGTTTGGATGATTAACTTGATATAGCAGCCACTAACAATGCAATCTGCCAAATGGTTCTGCATTCCTTTGTCTGCTCTGAGTAGGTCCATGTTGGCTAAAGAATCAGGAAAGAAATTTCTAAAATTTGATTTTCTTTTGTAAAAGCAGGTTGGCTATATTCCAAGGGAGCAAAGCCAGATTGTCTTTGGAAATTGAAACTAAAACTCTGCTCTTGTGATCAGAGACCTGAGTGCTATGATTCATTAATACTATTTTGATATCCAGTACTTGAAAAATACTCTGTATGAACAATTGGGGAGTCTAGCAAAATAGTTTTGACATTTTGCTAACATTAGTGCTTCAACACTGAACCATCTGCTAGAGAGTTCCAAGTCTGAATGAAAGGTGTAAACCTGGATTAGCATCGATATGGTTTTTTATCAAGTTTGGCTTATTCTCATCTCACTGGATGTTTTCCAGGTCCCTTTGGAAGCCAAGATTGCCATTGTAGAGTGCAGTGCCATATGTTAAGATTCATATGACATATTACCTAAAAGTCATGAATTATTATACCGTGTCTCTTTACGGAGCTGTGATTAGAAATGTTTATGTAAATGTACCTCCAAAGAAAAATGGTACCCAGTGTTGGGCAACAGTTTGCATGGTAGCACTGAGATTCCCTGCCTCCATCAGAGTGTATCTCAAAGACAGTCTAATCCTGGGATAATGAAAAACCAATACCTTTTTCTAAATGCACTGATTTTGGACAGGGGAGAACAGATTAGAGAGCTATTAGGAATAAGCCAATAACTTCCTTTACAAAGCAATAAAATCACTAAGAAAAGTGAAATGACTCTAAAGCTAACCAAAATGTCTGTGTTTAAGGGAAAATTTTTTTTTAAATGGAAAAATAACATGTCATGTTACTAAAAAAATGAATGTCAATGTTTTTTTCAGTTTAATATTTAAAAACATATGTGTATATACACATATATATGCACACATGAACAATTATTTATCCACACACACAAACATATGCATTATAATTTCTAATTGGTAATTAGATAATATAGGCTACAAATGGAACTTGACATCTTTTTCTCATGTTATTAAAGAAGTGAATTAGTAGAGCTCATCTTGAGATCTGAAAACATACATACATAGTACTTTGGTTTTTAAGGGCTTTGAACTGCTAGCTCTTATCTTTATGTACAGGTAGAAGAGAAGTATTTTAAGCTAGAAGCAATAGACTTGCACAGCTTCAACTCTGTTCTCTTACTCTAGCTCCTCTCCTAGAAATTTGTTATTGGTTAATACATAAATGTTAGACTAAACTTGGGTAGAAGGGATATTTCTGTTTTCTAATGTTTTACAGTCTGTTTTCTAACTAATGTTCTTAGATACTGTGTATTTTTGTATTTTTCTTATAATATCTGGAAACACAACATTATGACACTTTGTAATAAATCATTTTTTGATTAATTCCTGATGTTCAAAGAAAATTCTAGTCATAATAAGAAACAAAGATAAGGTGGTAAGATTCAAATTATTTAATTGTCCAAATATGTAACAAATATGTAACATTTGTTACATATCAATAGCACAGTATAGTAATGAAAGATTGATCAAGATTAGTAATTAATAATCTAAATTACCTATAAGAGAGATATATATTTCTATACAAAATAATAAATAACTGATTTTTGTCAGGAACATTTTCTATGTATTTTATGAGTGACCTAATAATACATTCAAGGATATGACATTCAAGGATAAGGAATATTCTCAGATATGACCACTCCAAATTACAAAAAATTCCAAATCTTAAGAAATTATATGGAAATAGGTTGTTTTTATACATATATATGTAAATATGTTCATTTCAAATAGTTATAAAATTAATAACTACACCCAAACTTGCTGGCTTGTATTTTATTAGCTCCAATTGAACTTAGTGGGCATGTAGTCAAAGCTCAGTGTCACTGTGGGATCAGCCACACGTGATTATGTGTGGGATCAGCGGGGATCGGCTGTCACTGGTTTCACTGACATCTGTCCCCACAGTGAGACAAGCTGCAGCATGAATTATTGAAGACATACACATGCAGATCTGTGTCATGATTATGCCAAATAATACATTTTGCCACACTCTTGAGAGCTGAAAGAAGTCATGGTCAACATCATCTTTAACCCCTTTTGACAATCTGCTACCATATTATAGATCTACAAAGGAAACACAACACTCTGACACTTTGTGATAGGCTTTTGTCTCAGATATATATGAAAAGCAATCCTCTCTCCCCCCTGGAGAGTTTTTATCTGCTCTCTTTAGCAGATACTTGCTAAATGATTTGAATATACTCGTTTCAATAAACAGATGATTAATATCCTATAGTTAAATGATTTAAAACAGAATTAGTCTCCTCCTTTGTAGAGTGATTCCACTTTGGCAGATTGGTAGATGTTTCTTGACTAAGGAAGTATTTCTATTTGGAGGAACTTGAAGCAGTTTATAAAAAAATAAATGTTTGTATCAATAATCTCTTAAAGTTATTGCAGAGTTTAAAAATATGATTGATATTCTTATCTATCAGGAAATATACTCAGAGTAACAAATAAAGGATCTGTATTTTGAAAATTTTGTACTTTCCTGTAGCACTGTTTATATATATATATATATATATATATATATACACCTCCCCACACACATATATAAACACATACATACACACATATATACATACATATACATATGTGTATATATCTTATATTATCATATATATGTACCTTTATTTATTTATTTTTATGTGATGCTGAGGATTGAACCCAGGGCCTCACAACGGCAAGGCAAGCGCTCTACCACTGAGCTATAGCCCCAGCCCTAGCAGTGCGATTATAATACAATCTCCAACCCCACAAAAAGGTATCTAACACTCAGTTTTATCTATACATTTATACATATTGATATTAACAGTTGGATGAAACAAACATATTTATAATACTGGAAAAAAATTACATTGCTAGTGATGTTACTATTTAATTGAATGATTCATATAAAACCTGTGGGTCTTGAATAAGTTACTTAACTTCTGTGTGTCTCAGTTTAACCCCGCTTTGACCCAGGAGCCTTATGTATTCTGCCAGCACCTATGAAACTATAATGATCTAACGTGTTAGATTTCAAGAACAATAAAATCTCAGACCCTTCACAATTCTTTGTGAATGTGTCTCTGACTCCAGAACTTACTTCTTTTAATATATGTGTGTGAGGAGGGGTGACTTTGAAATGGAGGAATTAGAAGGCAAGAAAGAATGCTTAAGGAAAATCTAAGTTTGTTGTCCACTACTGACCATGCCAGGATGCCTTTAAGGGAAGATGTAAATGTGGGGCAAATCTGAGGTATTGGCAACAGCAGTTTCTTGTGGACAGATCCAGGGATCAATGTGTATTCCTACACCTTTTAACCTGGGCTCCCACGCTACACAACAATGGCTCCTGATCCAAGTAGCTCTAGTAAGGTCTTTGTCCAATACCAAGAAAACTGCTTGCTTTACTTCTGACCTGCTCCAATCTATTTATTTTCCATTTAGTTCCTAGGTCTTGATAATAGGATACGCTTAACCCAGTTTCTTCATTTCGCACTTGTTGTTTTTCTAATGATGAACATAACACATTTTGCTAAAAGCTGTCTTTTCATTTCTTTCTTAGGTAGTGTGATAGATAATTAATTGTTTGGTACCTAGTATGGATTTGTCCCCACCCTCCTATTTTTTTCTGGTAAAAATATCAGACTTTTTTTTTTTGGACTAATCACTCTCCTCTCATTCTCAGCCATGTAAATGGGTCAAATCAATCCTATCCTAAACTTCAAGGTTGGCCTATAATTTTTTTAAATGAATAAGTATATATTTATCCCCCTTTCTCTAGTGATTCCAAGGAAGACATATAACTTAATGAGTAATTAACACTGATTCTCAGGTAATCTGCTGGTTATGCTGAGCCAGGACCTGATGGATCTGAGTAAGGAGGCTGTAACCACTAATAGGCATGGGCTGGGAGAGAGTAGACGGGATGGGGTAGGGAGAGGAGACAGAGAAAGAGAAAGAGGTTTCTAGTCACAGAATTTTTTTCTGCTGGTCAAAATTTATTACCTGATGCTATTGATAGACTTCTCATTCAGGTGATTTTATAAGCTTTCTTTCTTTGCTAGGTTTTATGTTACAAGTAAAGAAAAATATCAAGTTAATAGTGACAATATATAATACCCTGGATCCAGTCCTTTGGGACCCAGGTCTTGGTATTGATTTAGTTGTCCTAAGTTTAAACAGATCCTTCAAATAGGTGTTTTTCATGTTCTATTGTTCTGTGCAGAAACTTTTGAAGAGATGTTTAAAAAAATATGGAAATAGGAACAGAGTACAAGTGAAAAAAGGGTTACTGGGAAAACAAGTTGACCCAGTAAATCCATATTGCCTCTGTCTTGGCGTGGATAAAACTTTGAAGCCCATAAAGTTGGTCATATGACTTTTTTGTCTGTATTCATTCTGTGACCTCTGTCTCCTTATATTCTGCTTAGCTGCCAGATTCTTAATTCTCTCTCTCTCTCTCTCTCTCTCTCTCTCTCTCTCTCTCCTTTTTCCTGAAGAGTTCATTCACTTTAACCATTGGTTCTTTGGTGTGTGTGTGTGTGTGTTCTCACTTGGGAAGATATCAAAATCTTTCCTATTTATGACTTAGTATGATAAAAAGCAATAACAAAAACGTGGAATCGTAAAGAATTTTGTAGAATTCAGGCATTCCTTTCCTTTTACAACTTTGATTATAATCCAGCATGGGGTTTGATGCCCCAAATATTCACGTAATTGCATTTAAACAAAACCTTGAATATAGTGTAAAAGTAATTATTTCTCTAAATCTTATCTATTATTTATAAAGTCCCAGGTTAAGAATTCCTTCACTAAGTTATAAATGACTGATGGTAGTTTCAGGAGTTAATCCCTCACCAAATTATTTTTAGTCAAATGTGAGAATTTGAAAACAAGACATTGCTTTAATTGTGTGCCTTTGTACACTATTCAGTGGTTGATATAAGGTAGTCCAGACGGAGGCATCTCCCTGTCTTTCCTGAAATCACACTGATCAGGCCTCATCTACTCTATTCTTACCAGCTCAGTTTATGACACTACATATCAGTGAGGATCAGGGAGCTAGTTTCTAGTCATATTAAAATAATGGTCTTCTGGAAGAATGTAGCAATGCATTACATTAATAATATAACAATCCTGACCAAAGCAAGCAGATTTGTCTCCATGGAATAATTTTCCCATTGTGTCCCATTGTTCCTTTGGATACTGAAAACAAAATAAACATTGAAGAAGGTGTTTCTTTTCAAACTCAAAGAATGGAAGGCACAGTTAACTGATTTAATTGGATTGTGTGAATTGCTAAGATTGTATGTGTATGAAGTTGTTTTGTGTCATCATAAGAGGAAAAAGATGGGAATCTACCTTACTGTGCATATTTTACAATCCAAGGTATTCATTTTTTTTTGCTCTACAATTTGGTTTTAGAGCATATCATATATGCCATTCTCTATTTTTTGTCTATTTTTTCCTGGACTTTTTACTGGTATATTATAGTTTTTCATGATGGTGGACTTTGTTGTTACATATTTGTACATGCACACAATAGACATTCTTTAAATATTATTTGCACACAGTTGCAATATAGTTTTTCTCTAAATATTGAAGCAATCTGAGCTATCCTTGAATTTTTGAGGGCAGAGTAGATCAAATTGAGAGGTAGAAATTTTTACAAAGAATTAATTCTCATTTAAATATGATTATAGAAAAGTCATATTTCAAAGCATCTATGCCTCTCTGCAAGTTATAATATATGAAAAATACCTGCATTATTTGCAGTTGATATCCTTGTCCCCCCAGTGTTAACTTATTTATGAGTATGCAAATTTTATGCAAAATTAAGAGACTCCCTGGGGGTATAGCATTCTACTGTCAGCAAGATATTTTAAAAACAGATGTTTTAATATAGTCTTTAGGATTTGATGAGGGAAATTATGAAGTGCTATGTGAAGTCAGTTTTGTGTAATTTAAAATTTTTTCAAAAGCATATTGATGCAGTCATCTTGAGAATAGAATAGACCTCTCTTATTGGTACTTAGAAGACAAAAAAGGACCTAGTATGACAAAAAAAACAATAATAAAGATGTGATATCTTAAAGAACTTTTTTGCGTGCAGGTATTTTTTTCCTTTTACAATTTTGACTATAATCTACCATTTTGGGGCTATATCAAAAACTTGCACTAATTTGAGCTTTGTGAGAATAGATTACTTTAAAAAATATTCCAAATAATACTATGTTTATAAAGATAATTTAGGATTATAGGCTTTATATAATTATTTTAAGTCCAAGTATGGGATAAAATCATTTTCTCAACATAAAACAGGAAAGTCTACTGAA